AATTGATATTCTTCAAATAGTCTTAAGGAATAAATTAACAATAAATTATATACAATATTTTAGCAATAATTGGTTATTGACTTATTGTTAAAATAGTTGATTTTTATGGATTCATATTTTTATACATTTTAAATAATTTATTGGTATAAGAAACAAAAAATAAAAATAAAAATAATAAAATAGGTAGTTACAAGTAAAAATGAGCAACAAAAATAAGCAAATACTAACTTAATATTAATGAATCACACAATGACATATTTTGAATTGGCCCCTGGGAATAAATTTAAATTTAAGATGAAGACAAATAATACAAAATTTTAAATCGTAGTTAACTTAGTAWACTAAGTAAATTATTGTAGTTAGATTTACTTCAATATCTATAGAATTATTGCATTATTGAAAATTAAATTAATATTCTTAACAAAATATTCCATCTGGTTCCTTAAAACTAAAATTTTATTTTTAAGCCTATAAATGGCTAAAATAGGAAACACAAGGTCAACAAATTCTTATAAATATAATATGTTCATTACTAGTTGATGAAAAATTAACAAAAATAAATGAACACTAAGTAATAATATAGCCAAATCAAAGTTGACACATTATTATATGATATTATGCCATGAGGGACTATAGTCAGTAAATATTTTAATTTTAGAGTAAAACAAATATTTATTGTAGTGTAAATTAATATTATTATTGACCGTGACGATGCACCCTTTCAACATGAAGGTCAAATAATAATCTGTTGCTCTCATAGTAGAACGGATTTTGATCAGAAGTCAGATCTGGGTCATAATGTAAATTTTGTGGCTCTTCAACTCTTATGTTTTGTTGACTATTTCCATCTGTATGATTATAATTAGTGACCGTTTGCTGGCTATATTGTGCTGATGTAGATGCATTCTATAAATCAATTTTYAAAGATCATAACAATTAGTATTATAAAACATTATTAGTTGCTTAAAATTATTAACTTAAACAAACAACCCATATTCTTTTRTGTATATATAATAAGTATACCACACAAATAAGCATATTTGTGGAACTGGTGTTTAGGTATTGTGAGTAATATATAGCAAGTTTATTTTGTTATGAAATCTAATCTGATAATGGTTAGATTTAATTTGATACTTGGTGGGACTTATCTGTACTTATTGCTTGATATCAATTCCTTATTAAATATGAACTAATTTTAATTTTGATATGAATCAAAAGTTTGAAGGCTAAATAGTACAAGCGGTGGATTGTGCCACCAGGTGGCTGGGAAGTTTCCCGGAGGGATGGAGTCGGCCATTACTATAAGTTGGCATATCATCCTAAAACTGATATTACGTATTTAGGTATTCATATTTATTTAAAACTTTTTTTTT